ATTATTAAAAGGTAAACAAACAAAACAAAAAACAGATGCTGGAGAGTCTGTGAAGAAAAGAGAATGTTTATACATTGTTGGTGGGAATGTAAATTAGTACAGCAACTGTAGAAAGCAGTCTGGAGATTTCTCAAAGGACTTAAAATAGAGCTGCCATTCAACTCAGCAATACCATTACTGGTATTTACCCAAGGGAAAATAAATTATCCTACCAAAGTGACACATACATTCATATGTTCACTGCAGCAGTATTCACAATAGCAAATATATGGAATCAACAGGTGCTCATCAATGGTAGATTGGATAAAGAAAATGTGGTCCATATATACCATGGAATACTATGCAGCCATAAGAAAGAATGGAATAATGTCCTTTGCAGCAACATGGAGACAGTTTGGAGGCCATAATCCTAAGTGAATTAACACAGGAGTAGAAAACCAAATACTGCATGTTTTCACTTAGAAGTGGAAGCTAAACATTGAGCATGCATGGACATAAATATGAGAACAACAGATGCTGAGGCTACTAGAGTGGGTAGGCAGGGAAGGGAGTATGGATTGAATAACTACCTATCAAGTACTGTGATCTCTACCTGTGACAAAATTTGTACCCCAAATGTCAGCATCATGCAATATCCCCAGGTGACAGCTGCATATGTGCCTCGGTATCTAAGATAAAATTTGAGATTATTAAAAAGAATATGCCTTTTAAGAAAAAGTTCCCCTTTACATTCCGTCTTGCCCAAACCATGGTCCTCAAACAAAATTGTGCATCAAATCACTTGGAAGCCTTGTTACAGCATGAATACCTGTCGAGTTTCTGATTCAGTAGGACTAGGATGAGGCCTGGAATTTGCATGTCTAATAACTTCCTAGTTGATGCTGATACTGCTGGTTCACAGCCACACTTTGAGAACTACTGGCTGTGATGTGTCTTCTTTAGTTTCATCAGTACTTGACCTAATTAAGAATAATTGATTGCCTCTTCATTCTAATTACATTAGTTGCAGGATGCTAATTGTTTTAATAAATGCTAAATTTGCACATAAATGTGCAAAAAAAAGGTTGTGCTTTAATCTGTAAATTTTGAATTGGTTATAAGCAGTAATTAAGATCCCTTTGACCACATTTTCATAATGGCTTTGTTAACTATGAAACTGAGTTACTCAGAACTTGATTATCCTATTAGCAGATTTTTCACATCCTAATAGCAATTTTAATATGTCATTTTATCTATCACTATGCTGATGCAAAAAGTAAGCATTTGTGAACTTTGAGACTAAACCTGTGTACTATAAAATTCAATGTCAATTTTAACAGCATGTCCCTTTGATTAAATTTAAAACGTTTATTTTTTGTATGCCATATCTATCATTATGGCTGGGAATGACCTACTGGCTTATATTTTTGGTTCTGGTTTCATTCCCAGTTTGCCCAGTAGGCTGCTATGGAGCCTCTATCTTTGGTTTCTACTTGCCTTGTCAGTATTGAAAGTAGATTTGACCATATCCTCTCTCCTGCTCCTTCTGGTGACCCACAGCATGGGAATTTCATATAACAGGTGACTGTGCTCTGCATTCTCTCTGTGGCCACAGGTCAAAACTAAGTCACAGATTACATACTGAGCTCCTTAGTATTCTTCTTCATCTTAGACGATTTTCCTTCTCCAGAAGAAACTCAAAGGATACTTACCCACAGTAAGACATAATTTTACACCCTATCCTTTCTACCATATAAAGCCTCATACGGCATGGGATAAGGCAGTTTTCAAAAAGATGTGATTATATAAATATATATTATTTATGAAAGACACTTCTCTTGAGGGTGTAGGAAATCAATTGGACTAATCGCAAACCTAGCAAAGAAATACTCAAAGGGATTAAGTTACTGGAAGAAAAATGGCAGTGGCCTTCCAGAAGCCCAAGAATCTCTTTGTCCAATTTCTTGTACATTAGGGAATTGTCCTTATATAACTGACATTAAACAAAAGTCTTTTGGAAAAATGTGCTGGTAAAGTATATTGAGATGATGAGGGTGGGTAATATTAATGAAATACAGTTTACCATTGAACGTGGGGGTTAGAAGTACTGACCCACTGTGTATAACTTTTGACTACCCCAAAACTTAACAACTAATAGCCTACTGTTGACTGGAAGCCTTACAAATAACAAAATCAACTTGCATATATTTTTTTATGTTACATGTATTATATACTGTAAGAATATATTTGCAAGCTAGCAAAAGAAAATGTTATTAAGAAAATCGTAAGGAAGGGAAAATATATTTACTATTCATAAAGTGTAAGTGGAACATCAAAACTCTTCATCCTCGTCATCTACACCTTGTGTAGAATGAAGAAGAGGAGGAAGAAGAGAAGTTGGTTTTGTTGTCTCAAGAATGAAAGAATCTAAAGAAAATCTACATGTAAGTGGACCTTCGCAGTTCAAACCTTTTTTTGTTCAAAGGTCAACTGTGCCTACTACATGCCAAGTGTTTCACTGACCATATATCTTTTGTCCTCACAGTCACTCCTCAGGGTAGGGATGAATATTTCTCCTTGTCCTGGTTTGAGTTTCACCAAAAGGAGACTGCGAAGCAAGCATACAAATGCAAGAAGTTTATTTGGGAGGTAGAGGAAGCACCGCTGAGGTGTCAGGAAGTCTGATTAGAAGGGAAGGCAGCAACACAATGTAGATTATCAATCAGCTCACTGTGGACAATTGAGACCTGCAATGTAGAACACAAACCTAGGAGTAATCCCACCAGAAGAGTGAGAAATTTGGGGTATTTATGCACCAATTTCCTTGGCCCTGTTCCACAGGGCATGGAACTGTACTGCTTGGCATGCTATGTTTATGGAGAAGCAGGCTCCAAGTTCAAGAGTGAGTTCTCCTACAGATGTAGGTGGTTGGAATTTAGATAGTGAAGAGCTGGCAAGCAGATTTAGTGGAGGTTCCTAGATTGAAACTCAGGTCTGACTGGAGTTAAAATCATTGCTTTCTCAAGCATATCTTATTAATGTGAATCTTCTCCAGATATTCCATGATTTAATGAAATTATAGATTGAGACCACAGGTCTTTAGGAATGGCACTTCCCTATACCCTCTCCAGAGCAAGATAAGATTCTAAGAATTATTGGTAGGCTGGGTGTGGCGTCTCGTGCCTGCAATCCCAGCACGCTGGGAGGCGGAGGCAGCTGGATCAGTTGAGGTCAGGAGTTCAAGACCAGCATGACCAACATAGTGAAACCCCTTCTCTACTTAAAAAAGAAAAAAAAATTATCCAAGCGTGATGGCATATGCCTGTAGTCCCAGCTACTTGGAAAGCTGAGACAGGAGAAGCTCTTGAACTCAGGAGGCAGAGGCTATAGTTAGCCAAGATCACACCACTGCACTCCAGCCTTGGTGACAGAGCAAGACTCTGTCTCAAAAAAAAAAAAAAAAAAAAAAAGAATTAATGGTAAATCTAAATGCCCATTGAGAAACTAATGGATAAGGAGAATGTATAGGTATATATACAATGGAATATTAATCAGCCTTATAAGAGAATGGGATCCTGCCATATGCAGGATAACCCAGAGAACATTATACTAAGTGAAATAAGCCAGGCACAAAAGGGAAACTATTGCATTATTTCACTTATACGTGGGATTTTGTTTTAAAAAATACCTCAAATGCAGAGTGCTAGAGAATGAAACAGTGATTACCACTGTTGGGAAGCAGAGGAGAGGGAATGGGGAGATATAGCTCAAAGGATACAAAATAGCAGATATGTAGGATGCATGAGTCTACAACAGGGTCCCCAACTCTTTTGGCACCAGGGACCAGTTTTGTGGAATACAATTTTTGTGGAATACAGTTTTTCCACAGATGGTGGGAGTAGGTGGATGGTTTAGGAATGAAACTGTTTCACCTCAGATCATTAGGCATTAGATTTTCATAAGGAGTGGCGCAAACTAGATTCCTCACATGTGCAGTTCACAGTAAGGTTCACACTCCTATGAGAATCTAATGCCACTGCTGATCTGACAGGAGGCAGAGCTCAGGTGGTAATGCTTGCTCACGGGCTGCTCACCTCCTGCTGTGCAGCTCAGTTCTTAACAGGCCACGGACCAGTATCAGTTCATGTTCAGGGGTTTGGGACCCATGGTCTAGAGAGCAAATGTGCAACTTGAGGACTAAAGTTAATAAAATTGTACCGTATTAGGGATTTTTGTTAAGTCAATTTTAGGTGTTCTTGTCATACACACAAAAAAGGAACTACATGAGATGATAGATATGTTGTATCTGCCTCACTATTGTAACCATTTTTCTATGTACATGTATATCATAATGTCATGTTGTAAACCTCAAACATGCAGAATGAATAAAAAAACTTAGCTGTAATTTTGATTATGAACAACATGCTAAATTAGTACTTCCAAAGTCTATATATGACTATTATGGGTCTGGGGCAAACGAAGAAACTTTGACAATATTGCAGCATTTTCCAGGTAAGAAATTTTTTTTAATCATGTTTTAAAATTGTGTTTCTGTTTGTAATCAGCTAAATTTTATATTGTGCAGAAGCCCTCAATTTCATGGAATACCGTATTTCATGGATGCCCCATTTGGTTCATAAGCTCTTTGTGCAGGATTGAAATGTGGAAGGAAAATGAGTGGGTAGCCCATTCTGGGTATCAAGCAAAGAGCACAGGCACAGATCATGTGGAAGAAGCAAACTTAGGCAAAACCTAACCAAGAGTGCTTTTATATGGATATTCCTCTAAGTCCTCTAAGTCCTTAACGTTTGACTTATTCCTTTGTCCTTTTTAATGTGACAGATACCTAATCACCTTATGCTGCCTCCCCAGCCCCAACTTTGGTGTTCTTTGGCAGATAGTGACTTTGATGTTCTTTGGCAGATAGCCTGCAAATGAAATTTCAAAGGCTAAGCATATAATGTTTGCTCACTTGATGTAAGCAACAGAGGACTAAATCTGAACTTTGGCAAAAGTCTATTAATAATTGACAAATAACAGAACAGTGAGGATGTAGAAGGCAATACATTAAAAAAAAAAAAAAAAAAACCCAACATCTGGGATCCAATAACCTGTGAAAATGCTACCCCGGCTAGTTTGTATCAATGATTATGAACAACATGCTAAATCAGTACTTCCAAAGTCTATATATGACTATTACAGGTCTGGGGCAAATGATGAAGAAACTTTGGCTGATAATATTGCAGCATTTTCCAGGTAAGAAAATTCATTTTTTTAAATCATGTTTTAAAATTATACAAAGACTGTACCACAATAAGGTCTTCTAGTTTTACATTGGTGGTGTGGACTTATTTGTTCAGATTTGTGCTTAGTAGGGAGGGGAAATTTCTTGGGGCCGTAAGAAATCTTGGGTTTTCAAATTGTTGAAAAAAATATCCCAAGCCTGTGAATCTTGAACAGCTGACTGCAAAAGCCAACCCTATGTTACTGCACTTGGAAGTATGATAGCAATTTATTTAACTACATATAAAAATAGCAATAAATTCAGATGACTTTTCTTTTTCCTAGTATGACAGTGAGTGCTTATGTTTATGGTGTAGGAAACAACATTAAATGCCAGATAACCATCTTATCTGGATGAACCAGATTGGACTGCTGGCTCAAATGTTCTCTTCCTGCTGGCTTTTCGTGTTATCATTCATTTTGATTACTGTTGTCTAAACTTTCACTTTAGATTTCAATTTGTCTTATGTAGCATTAATCTTTCAACCTTGCTGTTACATCTCTACTTCAAAGCACTTCGTCTCTCTTCCCAAATTAGTTTTCTGTGGACTTTCATATTTCAAAGCACAAGATGGTGAGTGACATGGTTTATGTTTTCTGTTTATAGTAAAAACAATAAATAAAATCATTTCAAAGTTTTTTTTTTTTTTGCAATTACAAAAATAGTTTATTTGCTGGAGCAAGAGAGGGGAATCTTCACTCCAGTCCACTCTTTCAGTCTCATCCATCTAACATTATGGCTGTTAGTAAAGGCAATCAGTATTGTGGGTACTCATTGATGGTGATAATTTAAAGTCAAAAACGCAGAACTTATGCAGGGGGAGAGAATCTACCTTCCTCCCTGATTTCTTCTTTAGTCTACAACAAAATCACTCAAAATCAGTTTTCTATATTTAAATTAGGAGAAATAAAATTATCCTGACCAAGGTGGTCCCTGGTTGGCAGCACTGATTCACCCACAAATCCATGTAGAAGATGGAGAATGGCAGTGGGGTGAGGACAGGGCCTGTCCCCAAACCTTCCAAGCCTTGACTTTGTCTTAGGTTTCTCCTGGACCCCAAATGAGCTCAACAAATGCCAGGGAAGTCATGGGAAGGGAAGATGACTGAGAGTAGAGGAGCTTAGAATTCTGCACCATTATTTACTATTTTGGGCTCATTTAAAAGTTTCTGCTCTTGGAAGATGCCCCTTCTCAGGCCAATGTTAACTTTGTCCACCAAGTAATGTGATTTGCCTACGAGTGGTCTGAAAACACCTTAACCCAAATAGGTCATTACAACCAAGGAAACTTCAGACCCTTGACAGATTTATAGGGTTAGTGTCTCAGCATTGCCAGGACTCCAATGCTCAGGTGTCTATTTATTTCATTTATACGTAGCCTTCCTCACTTCTTAATTCCCTTTATCCCATGCTAGCTAATTAACCAGGAATAATTAGAAGTCTCCATGAGCTACGCTGTGTACTTCATGCTGAGGAAAAAGCAGTGAACCAGACGAAGTTTCTGTCTATAGGAGCTTACATTCCACTGGATGCATCAACCTCCAAAATGCCGTTGGGTTGAAATGATGCAAAATGGGCCCCAAATAGTTGGCCAAGTGGAGGTCTCAAAGAGGATACAAAGGGGTGCCCCAAAGCAGATGGATCACCTATGCAACCCTATAAATTGTAGAAACTTTGGGAGACATAGAAGGTTTGGTGACTTCTAAGTTGTAAACTGGATAAGTGCCTCATGCCGTATGTGAATTACATGGTATTCAAGTGAGTATCCCCATCCTATCTGTGTACCAAGTAACTTAGGGACAGGACACTGATAATGAAAATGAATTTGCAATGCCACCTTTTCCATGAACCTTGATCATTCTCTTTTGTTCAGCTTTAAACAAAACAAAACAAAAAAAACCCTATTGATTAACTTTCTTTGGAGGACAGCTGATGCTATTTTATTATCAACTGCTTGAGTTTTTATTGCAACAAATTTTAGGGGTTGTTACCTAGCTAATATCTCAATTCCTATTGTGTTGTGTCACTCGCTAGGTGACTCTTGATTCCTCACACTGTATCATGTAGCTGGTCATGTGAAACTAAGAAAAGATTTTCTGCCAGGGTTGTAGAGGCTTTGGGTTGATGGCATGAAGGAAATCAACCTGGAATTTCACATTCTGATTCTAATGAAAAGCGCAAAATACTCAAACCTCAGATAACCCATTGTGATACAAGGTCAGAGTATTTCCAACACATTTACAAAATTTATACACCTCCCTGTCTCACAAGTACAACAAAGTGTCATTCATAGTGACAACTTTTATTTCTTTGTACTCAGTTCTGGGGACATGGGCCACTCAATGTGACCCAGCAGTTGCTTGGAGATATTTCTGGATAAGACTTGAGACTCCAATATTACTGTGGCAGTAGAAAAAAAAGTTAAAAAGGACAAATAAATGGAACCACCCAGAAGAACAAAATTTTTTATTGTAGTTGTAACAAAACAGGGCAAATGTCGACTTGTTACATTTTTCATGGCCTGAATTGATTGGTGTTAATTTGAAGAACAGTAATTTGTTTCTCTTACACATTAATTAAAAGTGGCCTTTTCAACTATGGTCTTCACATTTGTTGTAGCTTTTTTTTTTTTGAAATTATCATTGATAGAAGTTAATTCAACAATTTGGACACTTAGAAGCCCTCATAATTTCAGAAAAGGAAACTCTTTTCTGTTGCATCACCTGTTGATACTAAAGACTGCATTATTTTCTTTTAAATAGCAGATGGGTAAAGTGATGTCATTGTCTCACTTTAATATTTGAGAAGTGATATAAACTTAGCAGTGACATTGTGTTCTCATAGGCATAAATGTTACAAAATCACTCAGCTAGTATCCACAAAAGGTGAATAAGGTGCTTTTGATTTATAGCTTTTAAGTGTTTAGAGTAAAAAATTAATATGGAGAAAATTAGAATGCAATATTATAGTATTACATAACTTATAAAACATTAATCCACTATGTTCAGTTGGTGTGATTCAGAAACAGCATGCAGTTATAAAGCTGGGTGAGGCATGAGTGTCTTCCTTCAACAGAGCAGTTACTTTGTGAGGAGTGTGGATATCAATTGATTTTTTTAATAAGTTAAATTTGAGGCCTTTGTTAGATGTTAAGGGTGGGTTAAAAGTCCTGTGAACAGATTCTCACCTTAACCCCACTTCCTTGACTCTGGCATCTCAATTTCTACCCTTTGAAAAAGGTTTATTATTCAGTTGGTTCAACAGTTTGCCAGTCGTCATATTCTTTTTCCAAAGTGGAGGCCCAGGAGAGCACAGTCCGAGGATATAGTGAGGTACTGTTTTATGTATGACTGAATGTAGGGTGGGGTTGGGCAAAGCTTGGAAAACTTCTAAGCTGACACAGTTGTTGTGATGACTATTTGAAAAGTATCAAAACGTGGAGGACTCTTTAGATAACATACATTTTCCCATTCCATTGATTTTATCTAAATTTACGTAGGAATTGCATTTTGTGCATTGGTTGACAAGCCTCTGTAACGTCCTTAGAACAGAAAATACTGTTTACGGAAAGAGCCCACAGTTATTAAAGTGACTGCGCCACCAAGCGGACAAGTGTAAAGCTGCTGTCTGGAGATTGAAGGATTGAGCCTTGCTTTACAAATGGGAATTTGACCTTTAAAAATGTCCCTTTTCACACACACACACACACACACACACACACACACACACACACACACACACACCCCTGCTGCCCTGCAGCTTTGTGTGTTCTTGTCATAAAGGCTTTCATTGTTTCTCTAGCTCTAAGTAAATATTAATGCCTTCCAAGGCTGGCATGCCAATGGCTGCTATTAAAATCGTTTCCTCTCATTCTAATAACAACACACTTAGAGATGATTGGTAATAAAAACTCTCTTTAAGGCTTCTGCTTCTCCCCCTTCCAAATGGAGATCAAAGAATCATGCTGTGAGGGTCCGTCGAGAAGAAAAGACTTTCAGCAACAGAGCATGTGGTGTGACATAAAACAATGACAATTATGATGTTCAAAGGAATAGCATAGAAATCACACAGTAAAACTTCTTTATTATGCTTTTCAGGGACTGGATGTTTTTACTTTATTATGTGAGGAAGGGTTAGATTACAGACCCTTAGCTATTCCACAAGGCAACATAAGGCAGAATTTCTTCTTCTGCTGCAGGAAATATACTACAATTAAGGGCTTTTTCTTTTTCTTCTTCTTCTTATTTTTTTTCTTTTTGTATTACTGCATTGCTGTATCATACTTCACTATATTTACTAAAAAGTCATGCTATCTCTGGAAGAAGAGCTAAATCTAGGTAATACTAGATGAATGCTGGTTAGACATGCATGTGTGCTTATACGACATGTTTATTATACAGATACATATTAGAAATAGGGCTGTAGTTTCTTCAGTTTTAATCAGTACTAATGAGGAGAATAATAAATCCAAACAAATAGGAGATATAAATTTGCCAGGAAGAAAGAGAACTAGTTCTCCTGTAAATTTTACTGGTAAATTTTTGGTTACTGATTTGTTGGTAATTTTCATTCCAACACAGAAGAATCACAGAAACAGTCATTTAAAATACTGTTCAGGACCCAAAAAAATTTTTAACCCCCAAATTGCAGTTTTTGTCAAATAACATTTTTGAGAAAAGTGTTCAATTAAACTAAAAATAAAAAACCCCTTACTTCTTCATTACACTTTAACGGATGCAGCAGATAGCTCAATGATTTTGAAGAAGCCAAATTATTATTTTAAAAGTAATTGCCTGAAGCTGCTGTTAATTACATAAAAAGAAGACAAATTAGACATAGCATATCTCCTTAAACTCTGATCTAAACTCTATGCACTTGTATACCATCTTGATCTTCAAGATTGGGGAAGTGAAATGTAAACTACGTTCACACAAGAACCTGTACGTGAATGTGTGTAGTGGCTTCATTTAGAATTGCCCCCCAAGCTAGCACTATTCCAAATGTCTTTTAGCTTGGGAATGATTAAACAAATGATAGTACCCCTGTATAATGGAATACTATTCATCATCCAAAAGGAACAAACTATTGATACATACAACAACATGAGAAACTCTCTAAGGCGTTATGTTAAGTGAAAGAAGCTAAACTCAAAAGACTACATACTGTATGATTCTGTTTACATGATATTCTTACAAAGCAAAATTATCGGGGCAAAGAAAAAATACATCAGTGGTTGTCAGGGGATTGAACTGGGGAGAGTTTCACTACAAAAGAAAATGGGGACATTTTTGGGAATGACTGAACTTTTCTAGATCTTGATTGTCATGGCAGTTACACCACCATATGCATTTGTCAAAATTTACAAAACTGTACACTAAAATGAGTGAATATTATTATATGTTAATTATACTTTAATAAATAATTGTGTGGAAAATTCATTGCCCTCTAATTGTTAACTTTCTATCCTAACAAACAGTAAAACTGCCTCTTTTCCATTAGCTTTATAAAGTCATTTGCTTGATGGAAAAAAATCCAATGGTATTTTTTCTTTTTAACCAAAATGTAATGTCAAAGTTCTGGTTATGTTTTTGAAATGCTAAAGCCCCCTATTTTTTTTTAAATTCTAGATGGAAGCTGTATCCAAGGATGCTCCGGAATGTTGCTGACACAGACCTGTCGACATCTGTTTTAGGACAGAGGGTCAGCATGCCAATATGCGTCGGGGCTACGGCCATGCAGCGCATGGCTCATGTGGACGGCGAGCTGGCCACTGTGCGAGGTAGGAGGAAGATTGTCACCCTAGAGACTGAAGGAGGCTAATGCTTATCGACTTCCTTCTCTGCATGCACCAAGCAAACGTGTCCCTTGATGTTTTTACATTCAGATACATTAAGCTCATACCATCAAAATGCTTGTTTAACTGTGCACATTTTCTCTCCCTGCATTGGTTTCCTCAGCTGTAAAATGGGGACAAAAATTGTACCTGCCTCATTGGGTTATGGTAAGGATTGAATGAGTTCAAGCACACTAAGTGCATGGCACAGAGTCGTGGCTCAGTAACTGTTGGTTATATTACGCGTATTAATAGTGACATCTGAGGAAATGGAGCTCTAACAAGTACACTCACCCAAGGTCACAGCCAGGTAGTAACAGAATTGGAATCCAGCCCCGTGGCTGCCTTATCTCCAAACCCTCATGCGTCCCCCCAAACCAAAGTGGCTCTCACAGCCAAAGAGCAAATGCAGCATTGTGGTTGGTTGTGTTTTCTTCCATGTGTTTTGGATCATGATTCTTTTTTATGGATGAGTTATATTCTAATAGAGCAGTTCCAGGTGCCTCAGGAGGGAGTGATGAGAAAATCAATTGTGATATAAATAAAATTCTTAAGAGAGCTAATTTATTAACTTTCCAGTTCTCTAGCAACTGTGAACATTTGAAAGGCTGTGCAGAGAGAAAAATCTCTCCAAATTCTGCTTCAGAAACTCATATAAAAGTTGGTAATGAATTTTTTTGATGATAAGCAGGGCAGAAAAAGCATGACTATATAATATTTTAAAACATTTTAGTTTTAAAAATTAAGGATCTTGTGAATTTACCTACCTTTTTGAAATGTCTGACATAAAATTCTGTCGGGGATATCAGAATTGCACAGTGAGGTTTTGCTGGACACACTTAGCAGTGAGAAGGACAAAAAAGGGAAAATACAAAATGGGTATATATTTATACAAAATGGGGATAATAAAGGCCCTTTCAGGCATGTAGCTCTAGGCCACAACCTCAGAACTAAGAAAACAAATGAACATCAAAAAGCTAAAACTGTAGTGCTCTTAAATCGCAATAAAAATAAAATGTAAATGATAAACTGAAATAAATGGAAAAAATATGAGCTTGTAAAAGGTTGATTTTTTTCCAGGTAAAAAGCCCTTATATTTGAAGAGCAAGAAAATACATTGCCCAAAGGGACAAAGAGAAATAAGTAAACAAAAGATATAAATAAGAAAGTTACAAATGGAGACATAAAATTGACCAACAAACACGTGAAAAATATTCAGTTTAATTAATAAGCAAAGGCATGTAAATTATGACCAACTATTTTATTTTCTGAATATCAAATTTTTATTTTAAGATCAGGTAGTATGATTAGGTAAGGGAGAAAACGTGCATTTTCAAACAGTGTTGAGACAAGTGTAAAGTGAAACAATCTTTCTAGAAAATAATTTGGCACTTTATATCAAAGCTCTAAAAATGTGAATCCCATGATGCTAAAAATTCTCTTCTAGGACTTCCAAAACAATAATTATGATTTTTGATGAAAAAAAATAGTTTCTGCAAGGATTTTCATGCCTCTTATTTTTAGTAGGAGAAAAATTAGAAAAAAATACCTAAACATCTCATAATTGGAAATAGGTTGTAAAAAATATGATGCATAAAAATGACATCGAATTAAAAAATAAATTATAGGAAGAGTACAATAACATAGAAAGATGTTTTAATTTAAAATGTTAGGAAATCAGATGCAAACAATAGTCAGGTCCTAAAACATATTTAGTTTCAAAGATCACAATTTACAAACGTTTACAAGTGATAAGAATACTTCTAACTTAATACTCCTTTGATTTTTGGCTCATTCTTATAAACTCGTCTTTGAATTATTTTGCAAGGAAGAGATGATAAAAATTAGATTTGAAAGAGGAGAGAAAAAAAGGCAAGGGACCATGAAGAGAATGGAAATAAAGAAAGGAAGCAGAGAAGGCAACAAGCAGAGCTCACTTGGTAAGGCACCCTGGAGCAAGCAAATTATTTTCACACATGTATTAGTTCCTTCTCACACTGCTGTAAAGATACACCTTGAGACTTAGTGATTTATTAAGGAAAGAGGTTTAATTGATTCACAGTTCTACATGGCTGGAGAGGCCTCAGGAAACTTACAATCATGGTGGAAAGCAAAGGGAAAGCAACAATCTTCTTCCCATGGCGGCAGGAGAGAGAAGTGTAAGCAGGGAAATGCCAGATGCTTATGAAACCATCTGCTCTTGTGAGAAATCACTCACTATCATGAGAGCAGCCTGGGAGAAACTGCCCCCACAATCCAATCACCTCCCACCAGGTATCTCCCTCAACACCTGGGGATGACAATTCAAGATGAGATTTGGATGGAGACACAAAGCCTAACCACAACACATATGACTTTATTTGATATTTGACAAGTGTTGCTGTCCCCATTTTGTGGGCAAGTAGCTTGAGTTCCAGAGAAAACAGTTTTTCACAGGTAATCAATGACAGATTTATTCTCCAAGTCATTTTTGATGGTTCCAAAACCAGTCTTTATTCTTCATGGAGTTGGGCTGGGAAGAAAGAGGAAAAGAAAGCTGAAAAGAAAGCTTCCTTAGAAACTATGATTTGACAGCATGAGTAGGACTATTTCCTCAAGAAGTAACCATAAAAGGATATTAAATGCCTATTATAGTCTTATCCTCTTAGATTTATTTAACACTTACAAAGCAATTATCATGTTCCAGACACTAGTCTAAGTATATTACAAGTATTACAGCATTGAAGCTTCAGAGCAGCCCAAATAAATAGGTCATATTATTAAACCTATTTTACACGGGAGAAACTGAGGCACATACCAGCTGAGTAACCTGTCCAGGAATGCACAGTTTATAAGTGATAGAGATGGGTTTCAGATCCAGGTATTCTGTCTCCAGAATCTGGGCTCCTCACCACTTTGCCTAACTCTTAATTTCAGAAAATCTTATGAAGTGTCATAAGGAGAAGACCACTGTGATCCCCTAGAAGAAATTAATTTATAGTTTTAGGAGCATGCAAAGCAGGCCTCTCAGGAGAGTAAGGTACACAATAGACATCTGGATAAGTTGGAACCAGCAGAACAAAGACAGGGTGGTGACATCGAGATCACAGAGGAACAGGAGAAGACAATGGAGTGTATACATGCTGCCATCAAAAATCTAAGATCCTCCTTTGGGTTCCTATCAGGGCAGTGTCTGCAGAGTTTCTATTCTGTATTTGCACTAGAAACCTCTCTCAAGGGTTTCTAAGCTTTCACCTATGTTTCAAAAACTACCTATAGGTTGTCTGTTCAATATTTAGGTATATCCAGAAAGTTGATGGTCATCAGCTTATGAGTACTCCTTGGCTGGTGTGTTTTGGTTGTGGGATAGTGGGTTACTTGCAAGGAAAGAATGAATGCCTGGAGTAGATGCTGCTGGTGCCCTGGAGGTATTCCCTTGTTGCTTCCCATTGCCATCAGACCTGCCACTTTTTGCCTGACATCTTTTCTTGCAACAGGAGCCCACAGATAGATGTGTTAGAAGTAGGGGAATGGGGGAGAGGGTTCCCTAGCTAATGATGTACAGCAGTAGGTGGATAAATACCCCGGCTTTCTTTGATCAGGGTAAGTGAAGCATTTTCTAATACGGTCACCCAGTGTTCCCTGGAAGGATTGAGCCCCAGTTGCCCACAGAAGTTACCTGCCCATGAACATGCCATCTTTTATTGGCTTCTTTCCCATTCTTCTCTCACTACCCCATTCCTTCGACTCACTGAGATCATTTCCAAATAAGATGACTTGCTCTCACATCTCTGTGTCATTTTTGGCTTCTGGAAGTATGCAAACCAGGATAATAGCTAACTGAAGGCTACAGATAGCCAGAGGAGAATTTAAGTAACAGTGTAAGAATATTCATATTAGGCAGAGAGTTATTTATGAAAACTCAGAAAATCCACATGGAATTATGAAGTTATTATTGGATTTATTCCATCATTCCAAGAAAGAATATGGAAATCCTCTCAAGCAAGCCAGTCCTTGGGAATATTGTGAAATCTGTGGAAGTTGTTGTGGAGGATCATTTTTTTGTCACCCTCCTAAATATCTGGCTGCTAAGCATTTCTGTTTCTGGGGACTTAGACTCTAGCAAGGAAGAGAAATAGGGGCCAGGTTTAGAGAACAGGGGTTAGTTATCCATCTCTCTGGAGAAGTGTCTCCCTCAGCATGGTCAGCGAGAGTAAGCGAAAACCACTGGTGGCCATAGCCAATGGTCTGACCTGAGTAATTAGAATCGGCCTCCAGTAAGTTCTAGGAATTGCTATGGCACCATAGTCTCACTTTCCCAGTTGACTCTCCAGATTTATTTAGAGTCTAACTTCAAGGGCCTTTCTGCCCTTCCTCTAGCAGCTGTGGAGCACATACACTTTGTTAACTGGGACAGAGGAATGAACTCTACTCTTTTACACTGCTGCATGGTTGTAGAGTGACCAATTAAGCTATACTTTTTTCATTTTCAAAATGATGATGAATACAAGGTTATCAAGTAAAACATAGAGGGCCAGTTATATTTGAATTTCAGATAAACAACAAATCATAGGTGTCCGGTATGTTTGCTCAATCTGGCAACCCTAGATGAATAAGAGCTCTTTCCTGAGGGAGTTTCTGTGAGGGTTCATGAAATAAATGCTAGAAAAGCTTACAGAAATGGGGCACACACTATCTGTATTTGACCCTCAGAGCCCAAAGTCCCCACATTCTTTATTTTTCACACACAAAAACTCACTTTTGGAAAAGTATATTCCACTTACATCTTAGTGGAAATAAAAATAGTTCTATTTCTTTCCTAAAAATATTTTTATTTTAAGCTTTATGTAGAAACCTTGGGGGAAAAAAGATGCCTTTAGGGGTCAGGCTTGTAATGTCAATGTCCAAAAAAAGATGAAATTGAAACAAACAAACAAAGCAATGCAAGCCCCTGGGTGGAGGCTGTA